CTTTTTTATCATCACAAGACAGATAAAGAGAGGAAACTAAAATATTTTTCAAGTATGTAGCTGTATTTAAACTTTATTTGGAAACACCTCTGTATTAAAAGAACAAATCAGTTGCACTCTTATTATACATGTCCACTTTCAGAGCCACCCAATAACAATATGACCTTTTTAAAGGAAGATGTATTGACATTTAGTTTCTATCTCACACCATCTAACCACATGACTGGGAAAAGCCTTCTTTTTTTCCTTTTTATTTCAGTGCAATGAAGTCCAATGGAATTAATCTAAAGCTTTATTTTGCTGAGCTTTACAAGTGAGGCCCACAGTAACATTTTCCATTTTTATTTTACTGAATGTAAAGCTTTCTTTTACTGTTGCTACTATTGTTAGTGTAGAAGGAGCAGAAGAGGAAGAGGAGGAGGAAAAAAGAGGAGGAGGAGAAAGGGGAGGAGAAAGTTGGAATGATAGGCAGGTGCTCCACTACTTGAACGACATCCCCAGCCACATTTTCCTTCACAAACCAAGTATTTTTAATGTTCAACTTCACAGGGGACACAAAGCTTTTAAAAAGATAATTCAGGTATATGTTCAATGTTTGTGTTAGTGGGGGAGTAACAGAACTTCTAATAGTCATGCTATTACATATATGCAAGATGTAGTGATATTTAAATTATTATCCCCTTGGTACTGAAGGCATTGCACTTGATTTTGGACCACGGAACGGAGTGATGCCTAATGCCTCCAATGAAAAGCCTCTGGAAAAAAATCAAGGCGACTTAGGCAAATCATTGTTCCCTCTAAATTTACTTTTCTCTATGCTAGGACATGAAACCACATACATCCGTTAACTGTGTTAGTCCCAGTTTAAATTTACTATGTTAATAATAATGTTCTTAAATAGAAACCTTTTTAAAGTGTTGGCATAAATAAAAGGTTTTTTTTCAATGTCTTTAATTTTAAAATGTTGGCATAAATTGAAAGGAGACAGCCATTTTTTTCTAACAGTTTATGCAAAGAACTACCCATTAGTCTGTACATTCAAAGGTATCACAAAGGAAAAATTAAACATCTTCCTTTGAAACATAATATGAACATCTGTACCTATTCACTTTGATTGGGAGGAGGGTCCTCTTTGCCCACGAAAAACATATTAGTGTCAGTAAAACACATATATTTAGATACATAGATAGATATAGATATAAATATAGATATAGGTAGATAGATACAGATATATAAGAGAGAGTAGCATTGATATGTATAACTACTATAGTTTTAAAAAGTTATTAAAGTCATTTTAAATTCAGATCCAGAACATCTTTTTTCATTGACCTTAATCTCTAGAGAAATATTCTTTTAAAAAAGTGTCTTACAAAGTTTTAATACCACAAAGAAGACTATATTTCTGACTAGGCCTTGACCCATCGTATTTCTCATTGCGAGTGAGAAGAGAATATAACTGATAAAAATAAGTGATAAAATCATGGAGATAAAATCAAAAGAAATAAAGCCAATATGAAGCTTGTCTTATCTTGTCTGAAATATATAGAGATCCTTGGACACATCTCCAATGTTGTTCTCTGTGTTTTTATTTTGAATCATTACCTATGTGGTGTTTGAGTAGCCTTTTGAAATCCATCCTAACAAAGAGCTCATCTTCCCTATCTCAGTGTTCCTCCTGATCCTAGTACCATGTCTGGAACATGGCAGGTACCCAGTGCAGAATGTTTGAGTGATCTCAACAATGCCTTCTTCAAAGGAGTGTTCCTTGAGCTCACATCTTACAGTAAGAGTAATTACCTTCGCTCCCACATATGTACTATTCTGTTTTATTGTCTAGTATCTGTTGGGAAATTTTTACAATGTCATTGGGCATATTAACAATTCATTTAGCTAGCACACAAACTTTATGAAACTTTGTATCATCCTTGCTAATGTCATTAAGAATTTTTTTTCTCTTCTCAGACATGCTACCTTGTAATCCTTGCTATTCAGGAGATGGATAGGATAGTGTTTAAAGGCCAGCCAGTTTTTTAGACATCACCCCAACAAACAAAGAGAGCATGACAAACGAACTGGTTATCTTAGTGTGTGACTGTGATCCTAGCTCTATGGGAGGTATACGTAGGAGGATTGAGGTCTAAGGCCAACACCCAACTATTTGAAAAACAACTAAAGCAAGAATGGGATAGTGGAATGATTAAGTAGTAGACTACCTACATGGCAAGGCCATAAGTTCAGATCTAGTACCACCAATAAAATTCTCTCAGTAAATAGAATAGGATGAAACATTTGCTTCCCTGGTATCTATTAATCCCCTTTCTGTGGTGTCCTCCATCTTGATGTTATTAGTTTTCTGCCCGGGTATTTATATCTAGTACACAGTCCCCTGCCTATTCTCAGGAAATGATTTTTCTCATTGCTCATTTATCTCCAATTCAAATTCATTTGCTCAGGTATTTGTGGCTTAATCCTTTAGTCACCATTGGGAGTAAAAATCCTACACTCTGATAGAGACTTTCAGCTAAGGCAATGTGGAAGATTGTCAGGAAGAGGGAAACATTTATTAGCCTTCTGTATTGCATTAGAAAGGTGAGTTTCATGCTTCCTTGGAATCACATTTATCCATAAAAACGTTAGATAAACAGATGCTATGTCTCCACCACCCTCACCTCCATATAAACACACACATAGAAGGAACTCTTTTTAATACAGTGCAAAAAGTCTCTAGTAATAGGCAAGAATCACTGATGTACCTGAGTAGAATTTCTTTATCGAGAATAAGTATGCTGGGTCTTTTCTTAAGTAACTTATCTAGTCTCAAATTAACCCTGGTTATTTGGGTTGTGGCGGGGGATGGTATAACTATTTGGGGATGAGCAAATGAAGGCCTAAAGGAATTCACTATCATTCTTGGGAGTATGAGATAGTAGTTACTAGACAGAAAGAATTCTAATCCAGGTCAGTATGACTTTTGTTCAGCATTATTGCCACCATAAATAGGTCCTTCTAGAGAGGGTGGTTGATGGCCAGTGTGAAGTGTGTTAGTCAAGAAACCAGGGAGAAAGAGAAGGCACACACAATTAGGTAATTTGAGAGAGTTTAATAATCCATGGATAGATCCTCAAGGATAATTATCTTGCCACCTAAAGGAGAGCACCTACAAGGGAGAGAGAGATGCTAAGGCAGGGAAAGAGGAAGGGAAGAAGAAGACTGAGTGAGCTGCCTGACAATGCTATGCCTTTCAGCATAGCACTAGAGCCAGATCCCAGTCATCCTCCAGTGGGAAGGGACTGAGGGAGTTGCCTTGGTGATCTTCTTAAATCTTTGACTAAATCTAACCAGAAACCAGAAGGAAAATGAACCTAAAATGACTTTATGGTTTTAAATAGTTTTAATGGTTTTAAAAAGGACTATAATTACAAACACTTCCAAGATTTATTAATACAGGTTCATACTAAGCCACAAGCATCTTTTCTTTTCTATTTTTACTACATTGCCAACAAAGAACATTTGAATTATTGCTTCAGACAATCCCTCTCATTGGGACATTTATGTTAAGTGGTTCCCTCCAAAGATGTCTGTTACTAAAAGACATATTTTATCGACAGCAATCAAGATGAGATTACAAAAGGCTTTCAAACATTTTGAAATCTTCATTTTGCACCACTGAATATTTTTGCCAAAGGGTGACCTCAAATTCTTAGCCAGGAGAGATCCTTCTGACCCAGGCTTCCAAATCCCTGGGACTGCATTCATGCTTCCTAGTGCCCAGCCTTGTTTCCTCTGTCTTTATACCGCAGATTTGTAATAGAAATCCACAGTGTCAGGTACACAGTAGTTGTTTGTTTGTAAAGTCTTCCTGTTGGTTTGTCTTCTCACTTTTCTGAGAAAGCTATCCATGCTGTTTGCTCATTGCATGAATACAAGACCTGGGCTACTTCGTAGCATTGGTATACATTGACAGCACCATAACCATTAAATGGCCCAATGTCTGTGTGTTGCTTCATTAAATCAGGTGGTCTGGTTGACTCCAGTGATCAATATTCTGGAGCTTTCCAAGTGATTGCATAAATCAGCCAAGGTCTCTGAATTAAACCCAAGTATTACCTCAACTGCAGAGTAGAACCTCCTGGGCAGGTGTTTAGAAAAATTACTAATGCCTTCCTCCTACTCTGACTTTTGTAACTTCTTTATATAATTACTATGAGAAAATAAAATAACTTACCAGGCCCTGAACTCTCTGAATGGGTTGGGGTCCATTCAATCAAAGTTTTGTTATGGATTTGGTTATGTGATAGTGCTCATGACATGGAGGTCTGAATGTCAATAGTAGTGTCAAGAAAATAAAATGTGCTCCCTCTGGGAAAGATAGCAGTGGTGTAGTTGAAGTGATCATCACTGCAAACTGAAAATGGTCCTCCTAGGTAGTTTACCTCAAATGGTAAGCCTCATATTTTAGAAGCTACTATATTTCAACTACATTATAGCACCATAATATTAGACCTATATATAGCTTATAGCACTTTCTATAATTCTCTCCAAGCTTAACAGATGCTAAGATTTCTCATCTCCCACTTGGGTCATAAACGATGCTATGGCACCATTTTTCCCTTTTATGATGGCAAAATGTACACACAAAGGAAACTACGTAGTACAGTGGCTAAAACAAAAATTAGCTGTCTGATTAAGACTACCAAAATATTTGCACGTATCTTTTCTTCAAATTTCAGGGAGTACTAAATAACAAAAATCTACTTTTCAGCAGAAAGCTTTTTGATGATCTACTATGACAGAAATGTTCAAGGAGATATCTCTTGAATGTTATTGCCATAAATGATTGATCAATGTGCTTTGTATTTCAGTCCCACTGAAGTATTATATTTCATTCCTTACAACTGGGCACATAGGGATTTCCTTAAGGGTAAATATTCTTAGAACGACAAATATATTATTTAATTTGACCTCCTAAATTATTCTTTTTCTTTTTTTTTCCTTTGTAGGACCACCTCAGAAAATAGTGTCACCTAAACAAGAACAGGAAGACAGGAAGCATGATAAAGTCACAGACAAAGGAAGTGAAAGCGGGACTTCCTGTAATGAGCTCTCCACCTCCAGCTGCGACAGCCACTCCGAGGCCAGCACTCCTCAAGACAATCCACCCAGTGCCCAGCAGGCCACAGCTCACCAGCCTAACACCTTGACATTGGATCGTCCATCCAAAAAGGCACCTGTGCAGTGGATGCCCCCACCAGACAAGCGCAGAAACAGTGAACTCTTTCAGACCCTCATCAGCAAGTCCCGGGAAACAAATCTTTCCAAAAAGAAAGTCTGTGAGAAGCTCAGTGTGGAAGAAGAAATGAAAAAGTGTATTCAGGATTTCAAAAAAATCCACATTCCAGATTATTTTCCGGAGCGCAAACGGCAATGGCAATCTGAACTGCTGCAGAAATATGGGTTATAGTAACCATTACACTCCTCCCGTGTTTCAATGACATTCAGTGTTTACGACGGTGTCACTAACCTGACTCCAGGGTCAGTGTGAATCTTGCTGCTCTTTTTTGTGAACAGTGAATGTGGGATGGTATTTTTTTTTTTCATTCTTATTTTTGTTGCTGTTTTGTAGAAACAGGATCTTAAAAAAATCGAAACCAATAAATGTAGTCTCAAGATGGTATATCTATCCGATTCAAACAACTTTGAAAGAACAAAAAGAAACTGCATGATCAAGAAGCATAGAATCTTGATTTGGAGATTATGGTCAACTGGACACATTTGTCATTTTGTAACTCATCAAAAAAAAAAAGAAAGTAAAGAAAATCCTCGTATTCACTTCAACTAAAATGACAGTACGAATGAAGCAACATCAAGTAAAATTGTAGATGAAGGTTATCAACGTAAACTAAATCTAAAACTGTTTAAATGTTAATGCAATAGCAATATTATTTTTGCATGAGCACAATGTTACAAATAAGTCATGAGAAATAAGAGAAGATTTGTTTGTTGCTTGGAAAGAAAATTTACAAAAAAAAAAGCAAAAAAAAAAAGTTTCAGGCAAAGCCTATAACTGTAAAGTGTCTAGGATACTGAAATTGAACTTTCTTGTTCAAAGCTGTGATTTCTTTGATATGTGTGTGTGTATGGTGTTCCTGTTTGTCCAGATGGTGTAAATATGCCTTATCTTTTTGTGTTCTGGCATCGACATTCATCTATCAATGCTAGTCATGATTATTTCTGTGAAATGAGTCTTTTACATCCGGCTGTGAAAATTGGTAAAATGAGGCTCTGAAAGATCCTAGTATTATGTTACTCAAAATAATTGAGGAAAATGATAAAGAGATTTATGTATTTATTAAAAAAGGAAAATGTGTTGGAATTGTTTGGTTTCTATTGACTCTTCTTTTAAAGGGTTCAAATGTTTTTCAGTTTTCCTTTATGACTCCATATTCAGAGGTGCCCTGTTCAGACTTGGCAAGTTTTAGCACAGATCAAATGGAGATAGGATCATGTCTGCAGAGCCTTGGTGTTGGTGAACATATCCTTAACCCACAGGAGAAAAAGGCCCTCCTCATCTGAAAACACATTACAATTTGACTGTTAGCTGACAAACCTCATTTAGACCCTCTTGAAAAACAATTGGCATGTTACCTCTTACACACTGAGACAGAAATATCAATAGAGTTTTATAAGGCCAACCTTTATAAAAAGTGATTTACTCTTGATTGTGTGAACACAAACTTTTTCATTAGACTCCGTACATCTTTGCTTCATCATTTCCACAGAGTGAAATACATAATATCATGCAATTTTGCTAAAGGACATGCTGAGAGATGTAAGATTCCCTCAAGAGTTTTAGAACTCAATTTCCCCTGTGTGAGACAAAGTGCAAATTGAATAGCACTTGTGGTACCACTTCTTTCAACATAATAGAAAATAAGCATTACCAACTCAAGGTCTGAACAAATCTCTGTTCATTTGCATAAGTTTGGTTTTCCCACAGTGCCATTTTATAAGGTCTTATCTATAATGGACTAGTAAAAACAGTTTAAGGTATATGATTTACTCTGAATCTCCTGTCAGATTTGGGGAAAACAGTTACTCTCATGTTCTACAGCTGATCATAGAAAGTTGGCACTTCCAACTTGGTTTGATTGAGGTACAACATTGGAGAGTGGATTGACTTTGGTGGTAAGGTTCCTAAGTTTCAAATTTCACATCTACCACTTATTATATAATCTTAATATGATAAAGGGATGATATCATGAAGATTTAAATGATACAGTTGAAGTAAAAAATTATTAGCATTTATGGAGCTTGAGAGCAAGAGGGAGATGGTGGACTTACGGAGTTGAGCAACCAACATTACCAGACACAATACAGAATTCAAGGCCTACAGAGCGAAAGGCCTCAAGGTCACACATACCACTTTTCCTGTGTTCTTCTGGACGAAGCCAGCCATCTCAAATCCAAGGAATATGTAAAGAAGCTCTTCCTCCTCATGGAAAGTGCAGCAAGGCGTTGTGAGTACGTGGAATCTATGTTTTGTCCAACTCATTCTTTCTAGGTCTAGATCTAGATGCAAATTCTCTGCATACCAGTTACTGTTTGTTTGCTTTGACTCTTCTCAGAGTTTAAAACATAACCTACCCACACCACCAAAGCACTTTTTTTTGTCTCTTGGGGCTTTTGTTTGTTTGTTTTGTTCTGTTTTGAGATAAGGTCTTACCATGTAGCCCACAATGAGACTGAACTTAAGATCCTCCTGTCTGAGCCTCCTAAGTTCTAGGCTAATGGGTATTTGCTATCATACCCAGCACAGACTTCTTCATTAATGTCTTAGAACTTTATTCATACTACATGTTTCAATTAGAAATGGCATCTACTCTCCTAAGCATTTCTTTTTGTAATTTTATTGTAAAGATGCTGAACCAGAGAGGTTATAGTTACATGCGTAAAGCAATGGTTACATTTTTTGTTGAACATTGTTACCCCTTCCCTTGTTGTTCTCCCACTAGCCCTTCCTTCCCCTACTTCCCTTATGCTTCCACAAAGTTGTAAAGTTCATTCCCAATATACTGTCTTCTGTGTGTCATTGTTGCAGTGGGTTATCTTGTGTCTTTGTTTCAGTGTTTTGTTATTCCCCTTCCCCTCCTCAAATTATACAAATGTATATACAAGATGCAGAGTATAAAAATCAAGTACAGTGACAACAGTGGATATGCCATAGGGGGAAGAACATACAAAGGAAACATGAAATCACATAGTACATTAAAAATACAAGGAAAGACCTCTTGTATCCATATCTTGGGATTCATTTCACTTAGCATCATCTTATATGGTCATATGTCCATAACTTTTGACCTTTTCTGCTCATCTGATAAAATTATCCTTGATGTATACTAATTACTGCGTATGAGGTAAACCATGGGACCTATATTTCTTTGGGTCTGGCTTACTTCACTTAATATAGTTTTTTTCCAAATCTTTCCATTTCCTAACAAATGAGGCAGTGTCATTTTTTCTTATGGAAGCATAGAATTCCATATAACATTTTCTTGACCCATTCATCAACTGAGGGGCATCTGGATTGGTTCCATATCTTAGCTATGGTAAATAATGCTGCAATAAACATAGTTGTGCTGGTAGCTTTAGTATGGTCTTGTTTGTGATCATTTGGGTAAATGCCCAGAAGTGGGATTACTTGGTCATAGAGGAACTCTATGTGGAGTCTTTTGAGGAAACTCCATACTTCTTTCCAAAGTGGTTGAACAAGTTTACACTCCCACCAACAATGTAGTAGGCTTCCTTTTTGGCCACATCCCCTCCAGCATCTGTTCTTTTAATTAGCGTTCTTGATTATAGCCATTCTAACTGGGGTGAGGTGGAATCTCAATGTTGTTTTGATTTGCATTTCTTTTTATCACCAGAGAAGTTGAGCATTTCTTCGTGACACCCTGAAGACATTACAGGAAAGAATAGGAGAAACTCTAGGGCTCCTTGGCACAGGCTGAAATTTTCTTAATAGAGACACAGAAACACAACATATCAAAGAAAGGTTGGCCAAATAGGATTGCGTGAAACTGCAGAGCTTCTGCATGGCAAAGGACATAGCTAGCAAGATCAATAGAAAGCCCACGGATTGGGAGAACACCTTCATTAGCCATACAACAGATGAGGGTCTCATATCTAAAATACCTTGAACTCAAAAAATCAAATCCTCCAAAAAGGAATCCTCAAAGAAACAACTGACCCATCAATAAGTGGGCTAAAGACTTAAAGAGAGACCTCTAAGCAGTTCTTAATACTCAGGATAAAATTATTAATGTTCATTCACAGATATGTTGTTACTTAACATTGAATGATGGTAAGTTTATCTGTCTTTTCCACTAAGATTAAAAATTTCCAACAGATGTTATGGTATTTGCTTTTAGAAAGAAGAAATAATCAGTAAAGAGTATCTGTAAAACTTGGGGGAGTTGGAGGAGAGGGAAAGTAGGAGAATATTGAGGGAAGGGGTAACAAGTTTGACAAGAAATATACTCATCACCTTACTTATGTAACTAACCTCTCTGCACATCACCTTGACAATTTAAAGAATTGTGGGATCAATTTGAGGTAACTTTTAAAGGTTGGTATTCTGTAAGAAGTCATTTTGAAAGAATTTCTCAACTGCATTCAGTGAGTATCTTCTCAAAAACTTTAGTCACAGCAAGAATTGACAGAATTGAATATATTTTTCTGAATTCTAATGTGTTAAAATTCAAGCTCCCTACCCTTAAACTCTATAAAAACATACTTCTTAGCATATTAAATAAAACATGAAATCAGATACTAAATAAAGAGTATCTGACACATGATAAGTATTAAAAGGTGGCAAACAGATGTCTTTTTTCTAACAGTTGACCAAAGAGGTTTCAACTCAATATATCAATTATATCGATTGCACCACGCAATCACCTCTCCAAACTATTCCATCCCTACATCTCCACACAAGTTTCCTCGTTCCATTTTTACATATGTGCCTGGAGTATTATGCCTACTTTTGCCCACTATTCCTCTCTACATTTGTCCAACTACTCTCCTAAACCTCAATTCTCCTCAGAAAAGAAATGCTTCCTTTAGTTAAGCTATCTTTTAAATGTTCTAAGAAGTTTAGCATGGAAATCTATCCCCACCTAGTCTGTATTTTTGTCAGTTCGTTGTATATAACAACACTTACAGGGCCAAGTGTTTTTGTCTCTCTGACTCTGACTTTACAAAATACAATGTTTCTAGATTCATCTACTTCTCTGCAAATAATATATTACTCTTCCTGACAGATGAATAAAAATACCATTATATAATGTTTTATATATTATATATGTTTTATATAACACACTAGGATATGTGTGTGTGTTTATCACATCACATTTTCTTGATCCATTTATTAGTTGTAGGACATCCAGGCTATTCCTACAACTTGGCTATTATGAATAGTGGTCCATCAGACATTAATGTGAAAGTGCCCTGATTAGTGTGAAAGTATCCTGATTTGCAGTCCTTTAGATAAGTAACTGAGAGTGGCAGCATGGATCATAAACTAATTCCATTTTTACTTTTTTGAGGAACCTCCTACTAACATCCATGGTATTTGCACTAATTTTCATTCCCAAGAGTATATTAGATTTCTTTTTGCCCTGCAGACTCACCAAAATTTGCTATTACTCATATTCTTGATCATGGTCATTCTGACCACATCCGATGGTGTCTCCATGTTTTAATTCTCATTTCCGCTCTGACCAGGTATGCGGAGCATTTCTCCATGTGTTTGTTGATCATCTGAACCTTTTCTATCTGGCTTCTACACAGTGAAGGATATAGTCAGCAAACTAAAATACAGCCTGAATAGAATAGGAAAATGTCATTGGTAGATGTTTGGCAAGAGTCTAATAAGCAGAATATACAAGAAACTACAAAAAAAGGAATCCCCCAAGATTCAGTAACTGATTAATAAATGGGGAAAGAAGTTAAACATACACATCGCAGGAGAAGAGGTTCAAATGACCAAAAAATACTTCTCTTAAAGCAACAGTCTCATCAACAGACTTTGATAAGTATATTTTCTCACTAATTCTAAAGTCATTTCTCATCTTTTTCTCATGATATTGGATTTGAACTCAGACAAATGCTCTACCACTTGTACAATACCTCCAGCTCTTTTTGCTTTATGTTTTCAGACTGAATGCTATATTATTTTGCTCAGAACTGTTTATAGACTGCAATCTTGTTTCCTATTCCTTTGGCATAGTATATTTAGGATTATAGACATGCACCACCACCATGCCTGGCAATTTCACATTGTTTG